AAGACTTGGAATCAACCCAAATGTCCATCAGTGACAGACTGGATTAAGAAAATGTGGCACATATACACCATGGAATATTATGCAGCCATAAAAAAAGATGAGTTCGTGCCCTTTGTAGGGACATGGATGCAGCTGGAAACTATTGCAAGAACAGAAAACCAAACATCGCATGTTCTCACTCATAGGTGGGAACTGAACAATGAGATCACTTGGACACAGGAAGGGGAACATCAAACACCGGGGTCTATTATGGGGAGGGGGGAGGGGGGAGGGATGGCACTGGGAGTTATACCTGATGTAAATGACGAGTTGATGGGTGCTGACGAGTTGATGGGTGCAGCACACCAACATGGCACATGTATACATATGTAACAAAGCTACACGTTGTGCACATGTACTCTAGAACTTAAAGTATAATTTAAAAAAAAAAAGAATATTAGAAAAAAAAAAAAAGAAATCCCGTCTCTACTAAAAATACAAAAAAATTAGCCAGGTGTGGTGGCAGGCACCTGTAGTCCCAGCTACATAGGCGTGTGACGCAGGAGAAGGGCGTGAAACCGGGAGGCAGAGTTTGCAATGGGCCAAGATGGCAGCCACACTCCAGCCTCGGCGACAGAGAGAGAGACTCCATCTCAAAAAAAAAAAAAAAAAGAAAAAAAGAAAAAAAGAATCATCACTGCAAACTAAAATAACAATCAGTTAAAACAAACAAACAAACAAACAAAAACTGAAAAACTACTGCACAGTAATGAAATCAATGCACCTACCAACACTCAGAAGGCATTCTTCAGATAGAAAAGACATTATAAGGAATCATGTATCTGAAACTAAGACACCATTGAGGAGAAAACACACAAAACCAAGTAACCCAGCCTAAACTGGGACACAAACCTGAAGAGACATTACTAAAAAGACAGTGTGCAATGCACTAACATGTAAAAAGGTGGTTCTCGACATTATCAGTCATCTCTAAACCATAAATGAAAAGCACGCTCAGACAGAGACTCATCCTAATTTGAACAATTAAAAGAAATCAATTATTTCAAACATATTCCCCGGAGGAAGTTGCATACATACTCTCATACACTGTTGGGGAGAAATATACAGGCACTATGAAAACCTCTTGGAGTTTCCCAAACAATCAAAAAGGAAACTACCATTTCATCTGGCAATTCCAGCAGTGGTATACACTTAGGGACAGTGAAATCACTGCATGGAAGCTGCAGCTGCCTTTCTAGGTTGAGTGAAGCACTATACACAATAGCCAAGGTATGCAATCAACCTATCTGTCCATCAACTGATGAAGAGATGAAGGAACTTCAGCATACAGACACAACGAAATACGCCCCATCAACAAACATCGATGACAGAACATCCATTGTGGCAACACAGATAAACCTGGAAGACATTATATTCAATGGAATCAGCCAGGCAGGGAAAGACAAACACTGCATCATCTCATCCATGAGGAGACTAAAAAAGAATTATCTAATGGAAAGTGAAAGTACAATAGTGGTTATCAGATGCTGGGGGGAGGAGAGGGCATGGGCTGGCATTGGTAATGGGTACCAAGTTGCACTTTCAGGGGAGGAATTAATGCTGGTGATCTACTCCACAGGAGGGTGACTACAAGTAACAATATGGTAGGATCTCTTTCAACAGAGCTAGAAAGGAGAGGAACAATGAAGGTTCACAT